AAACACCAAACATTCTCTTATGGCTATGGCTTCTGCAATCAAATTGGTGGTCTCCTGAAGTCTGACCCCTTTAGCTACAATTAGATTTCCTTCATGATCCCTAATACAAAAAGCAGTTGAACTAGGTCCAGGGTTGCCTTTAGAAGCACCATCAGTATTACCCTTAAACCAATTTATCGGAGGTGGAACCCATTTCACCACTTTGAAGTTATAAACTACGCTATACCCTTCCAGATACTGCACAATTAGAGGCCAATTATTCAAACCAAAATTGCCCTTACATCGGAGCTTAATGAACTTCAGAATAGTGTTATTAATTTCCCATATCACCTTTCCAACCGAATAAGATCCACCATTTAATATAGTATTTCTTCTCTTCCACAAAAACCACATTATAACTACAGGAATAGCCTGATAAACTAGCTTTATCCTATAGTTACCATCAGTAGACCACCATTTTCTCACCATCTAGTTTACATTCAACATGACCCCAATTATTCCAGCCGCTCTAGAGTAATATGACCATATTCTGGTTGCGATCTCTCCTCTCAAGAACAAATGATTAATAGACTCATTCTCAGGAATGTTACAACACCTGCAATTCTGAGAGATATTAGGATTCCAAGCATGAATGACAGTAGCCACAGGTACTTTTCCTCGCCAAATCCTCCAGGCTAGACATGAGAACTTGAAAGGTAAACCTTTCACCCATAAAGATTTGAAATCTTCATTGACATTCTCTTTTTTCCTTAGCACTTCCCAAACACTCTTAACACTGAAATATCCAGTACTAGATTTGGTCCTACCAAGGTTTGTCCGCTAAATCTTCCAACTGTTGAAACCTCATATTATGTGTGATATGATCCACTACATATTCAGGAACAGCATCGTGAAGAACATCAAAATCCCAGCCCTCCTCATTAAAAAGGTCCCCTATATCTCTCATGGGGTGACATGTTGGGGTGCCTAACTGATGTAAGTTCAAAGGCCCAAGATTGGACCAATTATCATACCAAATGGAAGAAGTTCCACCCCTAGGTTTCCACCACAAATGTTGTTCAATAACATCTCTATTTTCAAGCATATGTTTCCAGATTTGAGAACCTCCTTTCAATTACACAAGAGAAGGAATTTGTTTCTTGCAATATTTGTTCCAAAAGAAGTTGGACCACAAATTGTTTTGTGTCCTAAATTTCCACCACAATTTAGCATATAAGGCCTGAGAAACTTCAAATAATGATATGAAACCAAGCCCCCATTCCTGCTTTGGTAGACAAACTTTGACCCATTCAACCTATTGTTTACTCCTATCAGACTCATTATTACTCCAAATTTTTTTAGCAAAGATCTTATGTAATTCCTTGATCACACATATAGGAGGAGTGATTGCAGATAATACATATATAGGAATGCTTTGCAAAACACTAGAAAGTAGAACTTCTTTACCACCAAAGGATATCATCCTTCCTTTCCATACTTGTAGTTTACCTTTAACTCTTTCAATCAACTCTGCATAGTGTTCTTTTCTCTTTCTTGTATGGGTGATAGGACATCCCAAATACTTCGTAGGAAAAGAACCCTTGTTCATTCCAACACATTGCTCCACTGAGGTTGGAATTCCTGCTGCTACATTTTGATGCAAATAAAAGGAACTCTTGTCTTTGTTCACCTTTTGGCCAGATTGATGCTCATATTCCTGTAAAACAACCATTATTCTTCTTAAGGAGTACTCATTAGTTGATGCAAATATAATGGTATCATCTGCATAAGCTAAATGATTTAAGTTTGTACTCCATTTAGGCAAACCATAGCCCACATACTGAGAATCATCAAATAAAAAATTTAGAGATCTAGAAAGAACTTCAGCTGCTAGAATAAATAGGGTCGGAGAGAGAGGGTCTCCTTGCTTCACACCCCTTGTAGAATGAAAGAAACCATATGATTGGCCATTAATAAGGACTGAGTAGTAATTGTTAGCAATAAGTCTCCATATCATATCTGTAAATCTTGAATCAAAGCCCATCTTCCTCAAGACCTTCATCAGAAAAAACCAAGACACTCTATCATATGCTTTAGCCATGTCCAATTTAATGACAACATTAGCAGGGTTCCCTCTTTTAGTAATGTCAGTTACCATCTCTTGAGCTAGTAGAACATTTTCAATAATACTTCTTCCTTAAATAAAACCAGACTGATTTGAACATATCTTCCAGCCTATCATGAATAATCCTAGACAAGATCTTGTTCACAAAATTACTCAAACTAATAGGTCTCATATCAGAGAAGGTTTGTACATGTGCCTTCTTTGGTATGAGAACCAGATTAGTATGTGTAATGGATTTCGGAAGGGTATTGCCAGCAAAAAAATCCTGCACCATTCTTAAAATATCACCACTAACTATATCCCAACACTCCTGAAAAAATTTACCTGTTAACCCATCAGGGCCGCTGGCACTGTCTGCACTTAGCTTAAACACTGCTTTTTTCACGTCTTCTAAAACTGGACTAGCACACAAAGATGTGTTCTCTTCCTCAGTAACAAATTCAGAGATGTGAGACAATAAACGAAAATTAGTAACATCACCTTCCTGTTGAAAATGTCTATGGAAATGCTCTACTGCTTCATTAGCAATTGCCCCTTCTTCTTGTAACCACTCCCCCTGTGAATTTTGAATTCTATTTACTCTCCCCTTCTGTCTTCTTCCTTTCACCAGACTGTGGAAGAATCTGGTATTCCTATCCCCATTTTCAAACCAATCATATCCAGCTTTTTGTTGCCAAAAAAGCTCTTCAAAGTGTAGATATCAATTATATTCAGCTTTTGCTTTTTGCATGATAGATCTATTTTCACTAGAGGAGTCTTCTTCAAATAATTTTTCTTTAATTCTAGAAATTTCCTCTCTTATGATAAGTTGCTGAAAAATATCCCCATAAGTCTCTCTACTCCACATAGTTAGTGCCGTTTTAGTTTTCTTGATCTTTCTTTTAAAGTCTAAAAAAGGGTTAAATGAACTCTGAGAATCCCAATTCAATCTAACCAATTCTTTAAAAGATTCATGCTCAGTCCAAAAATTCAAGAACCTGAAAGGTTTCTTTTTATTTGCACCTCCATCTGCACAAGACACTAACATTGGAGCATGGTCTGATCCTACTCTGGGCAAGTGATCAATCTCTAACTGAGCAAAAATATTTTGCATCTCTGTATTTATCAGTATTCTATCTAATCTTTCAAAAATACAATCATCGCCTGCTCGACCATTCCACCAAGTAAAAGGACTTCCTTTAAATGGTACTTGTGAAAGATCGCAAGATTCAATACATGTCTTGAAGTCATCAACATCTGCAGCAACTACTGGTACTCCACCAATCTTCTCTTCTCCATTAAGAACCACATTAAAATCCCCACCTATCAACCAAGGTCTGTCCATCCCAGTAGAAATAGAATATAGCTCTTCCCATAGATTCAACCTCAGATTGCTATCACACTTAGCATATACTATAGTAACATAAAAACTTAAAGCAGTGAATTGGTTGTTCATCAATACAGTGAGCTGCTGCTCTGAATTACTCACCACTGAAACATCAAAGCCGTGATTAGTAAATAACCAAATCTTTCCATTGTTATTATGAGTCCCCAATGGCATTTTTAATCTTCTTCTATACTTGTTGATGTGTCTAACTGCTTGAAAAGGCTCTAATAATGCAACAAAAGCAAACTTGTGATGATAATGTAACATTTGCACCCTCTGAAAGGCATTTTGTGTCCTCACTGACCTTATATTCCAAATGAGTGCATTCATTATCATTTTGCGAAAATATGTGGAAAATTATCAAAGATAATGGATTTCATGTTTATAATACATGTTTGATAAATTTCTTAACATAAATACATTTTTTTTATAAAAGTTATCAAATTCAAGTGAATTTGTATCCAGACTTCTAGCTTCGCCCTGAATATATCAGACAAACAAGAAGCATTAGTGTCTTTGAGAACAAAAAGGTGTCTCCATCTTTGTTCCTAACACCATAGCAAAAGTTGTGAAATCCTGTAACATCTCCCGTAAGTATAACTTTCATTTCAGGATAAAGTCATCCAAGAGCGGCTCAATAGAATTAATGGCTAAAGTCAAACATTAATAAGAGGCTTTAAATTTATTCTTTAGTAAAAAATATATGAATTTTTGTTTGAAGTTTATTTTTTAGCCTTTTAAAATACAAAATTATTTTTAAAAAAATATTCTATTATTTGAATATTAAATACATTTATATAATGTAATTGACATATTTAAGCTACGTAATCAATAATAACAAATTATGATATATACCTCTGAAACAAAAAAAATAAAACATAAAAAACTTGATAAAAAGAAGGATAACAAAATTTCAAACAAATTATGAAAGTTCATAACTTGATAATAAAAATAAATAAATTCAGAATAAGGTTTCTATGTGTCAAGTTGCTTGCTGCAGTGTTTGTAAACATTCAATTCCAAAATTGCGTGAACGGGGCATTAAAAAAATAATTGAAATTCGATATTACACTGAAAAAGAACTATAAAAAATAATAAAGGAATGAGAAAACACACATTTTATAACTATTTGGATTGTAAAATAAAATTGAATGACTTTTTTATATGAAATATTAAAAGTTGAGTGACCATCTAAAATATTAACTCAGATATAATAAAAAATAGTGGGGTGCGGGGTGGGTGGGGGGTTACCTCACATTATTATTAGCAATCATGTTGAACTAAGTACTCTAATGCGAGGATTGAATTTATGCATTCAGTTATATTTGATGTCATAGTAAATTCTCGATCAACTGTTGCATATATTCTAGTTCATTTTTCATGCCCTGCCAACTCGAAGTAATACTTTACCTGAACATCAACTAGTTCAACCTTTTCCATAAGTATATCAAAATCAGATTAGTTGTATGCCTTTGTCATGGCATAAAACACTTTCGAAAGCCTATTGTATGATTTCTTCACATTTTTTTCACAAATGTCATGTACAAGCATAATGTGAGACCCCTTGTATATCCTCAAAACTATCTTTATAAAAACTCTCCTTCCTATCAGATACAACACACATATTTTCTTTTAAACCAGAAGCTTCTCTAAACTGTTCAAAGAACCAAGTCCAGGATGCATATGTAACACCTCGGTCTTAGAAAGAGCTAATTTTAGAAAGAACTAATTTGGAAAGAGATAATTTGAGATTTGTGCAAGTTAGACTTCAATTGTGCATTTTGGGTCAACTTCAAACGATAATAACTTTCGGTACAGGATGAGTTAGGTGGGTCATAAGGTGTCAAATGAAAGACCTCTGAGTCATCTTTCCAACGCCACCGAGTTTGCTAGATTCCGAGTGTGGATGAGGGAGATATGTCCGTTGAGTTCAGCCTATCTGATTAAAGAAATTCATCCGAATTAAGGAGGGGTATTTTGATCTTTTCCTTACCCCATTAGCCTTAAACATTTTTTTCCACCCAAATAGGGGTCTAAACCGATTGAGATTAGTTTTCATAATCCCAAACACGCTTAGGGTTTTAGAGAGAAGTTCAAGAGGAGAAAAAAGCTTCAAGTGTTCAAGATTATTGCGAACTTTGAGGATTTTCGCCAAGAATTCGATTCTTTCGAGGTATGTAAGCTTTCATAGTGATGGGTTCGTTCACCCTCACGCCAATCATGAGTTTCTTGATTAAAATTCTTCCATGAAATCTGTGTATTGAAGTTCTTGATGAGTTTTCTTGAAAGTTTCGTTCTTCAATCTTTATTATTGGAGTTTGATGAGTTCTTGAGGTGAGGGTTTGAGTTTGAGGGTTGTTCTTGAGAAGATTTGAATGGATTTTTGTTTACTTATGTTGGGTATATGAATCTAAGAGAGTTTGAAGGAAATCAATCGATTCTAGGTGAATTAGGGCAAAAAATTGAGAAGAAAAATTCGTCAAAATGTTCTGAAAATGGGTTGGGGCGCCATCAGTGCGCCAGAAACCAGCCCCGGTAAAGAGAGGTCTGGCGCGGCGCGCCACCCCTGCGCCACAAAGCGTCAGGCCACTTTTCTTCTTCATTTTCATTTCACACTTGTTTCTTTGAGTCGAGCTTTCATTCCTTTCTTAACTATTTAAACTCACATTAATCATTGAGAGATCTTATATATCATGAATCATAACTCTTGAATTCACATTTCAAATTCAAGAAAAGATTAAGAGTCAAGTTTGAGAGAACCTTTCGAGTCATTTTTAGAAATCTTTTACAAACTTTTAAAACTTGTTTTAAGACTTGAGTAGTTGAGTATGAGGATGAAGAGAGTTGAATTCATGTTTTTAAACTGAATATAAGGGAACTAAGTATTCCCAAGAGTAAATGTTTT